GAGAGAGAGAGAGAGAGAGAGAGAGAGAGAATTTTAATATTTTTTTTTTTTAGTTTTTCGGCGGACACAACACCTTTGTTTGTATGTGGTGCTGAGGATGGAATCCGGGCTGCACGCATGCCAGGCGAGCGCGCTACCGCTTGAGCCACATCCCCAGCCCTGTTGTCACTTTCTATAGACAGATTTCACTTACTTATCTCAACTGAGATTTTCTAATTTTTAAAAAATAATATGGAAGTTTAATTTCAGACATTTATATCTGAGAGATAGATAGATAGATAGAGATTATACAATAATAGTTTCTTATCCACAGGGGTGTGCTAAGACCCTTTCCAGAGAATTCCTGAAACTACAGATGGTACTGGATCATATATATATATATATATATCCTTTATAAATTAGGCACAGGAAGAGGTTAACAACAATAATAATTAAATAGAATAATTATAACAAGACACTGTAATTAACATTATGCGGATATGGTCTGTCTATGTCATTTCACTATACTTACCTTTTTCTTCTTGACCACGGGTAACTGAAGTGAAGCAAGTGAAACTGCAGACTGTGGGAACAACTATGTGTTTAAATCATTTAAATTTGATTTTTCAAAATTTCTAACAAAGTTTACAACCTTATTAACAATTATTATGCTTAGTCTTATATTTTGTTGGTTTTATTCTTCATTACATTTTCTTTTCTTTTTTTTTTAATATTTATTTATTTTTTTAGTTTTCAGTGGACACAACATCTTTGTTTGTATGTGGTGCTGAGGATCGAACCCAGGCCGCACGGATGCCAGGCGAGCTTGCTACCGCTTGAGCCACATCCCCAGCCCTCATTACATTTTCTTATATAACAGATCTTCTCTTTTCTTGAATTCATTATTCTGGCTTATTTTCCCCTTTGCTTTGAAGAGATCTTCACTCTAAAAAAAAAAATTTTTTTTTCTTTTTTAATAAGGGGTATTTGAGGGATGTAATTTCTGTGTCTTCAAACATACCTTTATTTTGTCATCACATAAGAGGGAAATTAGAGTCAGGCAGCTGTTGAACTCTTGAGTTCAAATAACATTCCCTTGGAATTCTATAAAAACTCTGTCGGTGTCTCTGAGCAGAGTGTTGCAGACAAGAAGTAGGAGGTCAGTCTGTTTAATTTCCTTTTAAGCAGCCGGATTGTTCTCCCCTATGAGGAAGCTTGTGGTTGTTTGTCTTTGTTCTTGGGGTAGCAGACTGCATCAAGAAGTGTGTATTTGTTCAGTGATCCTGCTGCCCAGACAGGATATGATCCGAGCCCTGAGTTCTTTCTTTAGCTCAAGGGAATGGTCTTCTCTTGCTTCCTTGGTCATTGCTCTCCTCCTCATTGATGGTGTTGTCTCCATCCGGAATTCCTGTTGGAGTAATATTGGACGTTCTGGATCTCTCTGTTACATCATGTTTTTTTTAAAAAATAAGATTATATATATATATATATATATATATATATATTATACATATATACATATATATTCATATATATATAGTAGTCGGACACAATACCTTTATTTATTTTTTTATTTTTATGTGGTGCTAAGGATTGAACCCAGGGCCTCACACATGCTAGGTGGGTAATCTACTGCTAAGCCACAACCCCAGCCCTTCTCTGTAACATCTTGTTTTCTTCTGTTTATTTCAGTTTCTTTATCTTGTGGTGTGTGTGTGTGCGTGTGTGTGTGTGTACGCACAAGCATGTGTGTTTAATGGTGTTGCCAAAAGAGCTGGTATCCTGCTCCTATTCAATCTCTGGCTCCTTTTTTATATTAGTAACAAACCTCCCACTTTCCAAAGAAGCTGTGAAATAACTTCTGTGTTCAATTACTCTGTGTGGAGCTAACTGTCCTTGTTCTTGATGTCCTTAATATACTCCTGCATCGATGCCCATGACCCTTGTCCAGTCTGGATTCTTTGAGCTTGGAAACCCAAGTACTTACTTCTTCAGGGGCCCATGTAGAACCATGAGTTTATCACCGTGAAGCAGCCTTTCCTCACCCTTGCCCTGTCAACTTTGGATCTTCCCCTTATTCCTCAAAAGATCTACTTTCTTTTTATTGATTGATTTTTATTTTGAGATAGGGTCTTTTTATTGATTGATTTTTATTTTGAGATAGGGTCTTGCTAAGCTTAGTGCCTTGCTAAGTTGCTGAGTCTGGCTTTGAACCTCGATCCTCCTGTCTCATCCTCTTGAGCTGCTGGGATTACAGGTGTGCACCACTGCATCCTGCTAAAATATCTGATTTATTGAAGGCATTTTTCTTTGTGTCCCACCATGGCCACTAATGTTTTGGTCATGAAAGTGGTTTGGGGGGTAGGAAGGAAAAGGGATAAGCACAGGAGCCCAATTTATCATTCCCCAAACCAAAAGCCACACTGTAGAACTAGGCTAGGGGACTGAAACATCATGGGGATGGCAGAATTGACTCTCTGGGAAGATTCTTTTAGACCCTAAATATAATGAAAGATTTGAGAAATAACTTTTACACAAAGGGCCAGAGACATAGCATGTAGTTTAGTCAGGAGAAGAGAATGAAGGGACCTTTAAATGCTCAGTCTCATTAAACCAGCAGAAGACTCACAGGTGGCAAATGCAAGTGACTTCTGTGATCACAAAGACCATTTGCTTCTTGAAAAGTTGTGACTTTATAATGCATTGCAGAGCCAGGTTAAGATGCCTCCTTTCCTGGAGGGTTAATTGCTATTCTCTGTAAAGGTAACCGGATGGACCAGAATCACTTTCTGGACTGTCTGCCAGCCTGGCGATATTGTGGTTCTCCACCAGGGACACGTGCTGTTAGGTGGGGAATGAGCCCAGCAGATGAACTCCCATGAGTAGAGATCTTGTTTACACCCAGCCTTCCCGACTTTTCGTTTCGTTTCTTTTTTTTTAATGTGAAGAGAGAGTGTTTTTGTCAGGAACACTGTCTCCACATCTTTCAATCCGAATGGAGACATCTTTGGTTTCTTCTCCACACACAGCTCCCTCCCTCACTGCAGGTGCCCTCCCACCTCCTCCCCTGGCTGTTCCTCCCCCAGTGCTGGGTGGAGGCGAGGCTGAGAGAGAGTGACAGGCTCCCTGTGGTAGGTCTGTGCCTTGTCACTGAGCCTCCTGGGCTCAGGTCTGGGGTGACTGAGGGAGAGCCAGCTCCATGCTGTGTGGCTGGTGACATTTCCGGCTTCCAGTGCCCAGCCAATCGGTGACAGGCCCAGCTAGCTAGGGCGATGACACATGAAATATGATAATTTTCTGCTAAAGAGCACTGGAAGTGGGGGGAGGGATGGGAGAGCGCGCGCGCGCGTGTGTGTGTGTGTGTGTGTGTGTGTGTGTCGGGGAGGACAGAGCAGACAGTGCCTGCGACCAGGTGAGAGAGTGACAACACACTGATGTCAGTAGTGTGCCTGGCAGAATTGGGCAAGGGAGGGAGTAGGCGCTGGTGCTAGAGCTGGAGGGACCTGTCCCGGAGTGACTGTAGGAATACCACCACGGAGGTGAGCCTGGTGGCCCCTATGGCTAATGGGCAAGAACCAGGGGAGAGTGGGCTGCTCCATTCTGAAGTTGTGGGGCTTGCAGGGGGCTGGGATGCAGGAATGTGTGTGAAAAAAAAAAAAAAAACCCAGCTGAAAAAGGCATTTGTCTTCCTTTCAAACATGAATAAGGTTAGAAGTTTTGCTTCTTCTCAGTGCTACCTCTTTAAAAGCCAAAGAAAAACTAGAATAAACACCATCTGGATGGCTAAAGTACTTGGTGAGGTTTTTTGATTGTTTGTTTGTTTGTTGTTGTTTAATTTAAACTGGAGGTGGTTTATCTGTCTACCCTGTTTTTTCTACCTCCATGCTCAATCCTACTCTTTAAAAAAGAGTAAAAATAAAAACAAAGTAACAAAAGCTAATTGAAATCTTGAGGAAGGGAAAATCTCAATTTTTGATACACTATGATTTAGGTGGTAGTTTTGATTCTCGATTCTGATGGGAAGAAATTATGTCTTGGAACACAATCTGGTCCTAGATCATATTAGAGTTGAGAAATAGTGTCAGAATTATCCTTTGAGTTGAGGACATGGACCCTGAAACTGCAGGGCTGGCAAGCAATGCCCTGTGGTGAACTCTGGGGCCCCATAGGTCCCCACCTCCTTCAGCCACTATTGCAGGCATCCTGGCTCTTTATTAGCAGTAAGTGGCTGGTGCAGGATGGCACCTGTGCTGACAAGAGTTCCCTGATCATCTGACCAAGAGAACATGTGTGTTCGGAAGTGAAGGATCATAGTGTTTACATAATATGCCAGTTCATCATTGAGAAGCTCATCAGGCAGTGAATATGTATGTCTAGTCTTATGCCTTACATTTACATATTTTCTCTCTCCATATATATGCCTTTTATATGCATGCATGTATGTGAAACACATGCAATGTACTTTTTAAAGGGCACCAATAAATAAAATCATTGTCATTGCTTGCCACCCTGCCCTGTGTGGTTGTAGGCATGGAACTGGCTTCCTGCACTCCAAATGATGGCTATTCAGAAGTGATAATTGGTGTACTGTATCTTTAAAAGGTTAAAACCCCTTTCAAAAAAGGCCTGGACTCCTAGTGGAAAAGACAAGCCAGGCATGGGTTGGCTCTGGATTCAGAAAACAGCTGCTGATTAGATTCTGTGTCTGCGGGCTGAATTTATTCCGTGTTTTTCAGCAGCAGGAATTCAAGAGGGATGCTTCTGTTTGGGTTTCTGATGGTGATTTATATTTATTCAGAGGAATAACAGAGGGTGGATCTGTTCCCGGCGCGAGCATGCTCACAACCAGCCGACTCTCCCATTATCCCACTGCCTAGTTTGGTGCTCCAATGTACATGGATCTTCCGTGTGCATACGTGTGTATACAAACACGCATGCATGCCTGGATGGACATACGTATGCACGGGCTGTTTTTTAAGGACAATTCTTTCAATAAGGTCTTTACCCCTTACTTGAAACAGGTGTTCATGAAAAAAATGCACAATATCCCGACCGGCCGGAATAATTCATGAAGAAGGGGCTGGATCCGTGGGTCAGAGAACACAGGACCAGTTTGCCATCCCAAGGCCGAAGGTAGGGGACTCTGGGTTTTTATTCGGCGGATGGATTCCTTGTGCTTTATTTTACGGATTGTGTTTTTGCCTGCGGCCGCCACGGAAAAGTGCAATAACGAGCTGAGCTGCCGATTCCATTTTGTCGCTTCCTTTCTTACGCCAGGTGTCGGGAGGCCAAGGGCAGGGGCCGGCTGGGTGGGCGGCCGTGGTGCCCCGGGTGGGCTGAGCGCGCCGCTTGCCTGTGCTGGGGGAGCTGCGCGAGCCTCAAGTGACCCCCGCGCGTCAATCACCGGCAGCGGCGGCTGGGCTGTAACCCTGTGTGCGCCGCGCGCTCCTGAGCTGGCTCCAGCGCTGGCTCGTCAGAGGCCGGCGTGCCATGCCGGGAACTGGGCTCTGAGCTACCAGAACCTTAGCTGTCGTCAAAGGCATTGCCCTTTCCCCACTGCTATTGTGGCTGTGGCTCCAGGATTGTTCAGGACTCTATCCTCTGGTTGAGAGTAAGATTCATGTTGCTGGGTGCCCAGACAGAGGGAAGAGCCTTCCCTTCCCCCTTAATCCTGCCCCTCTGAAATGTTCCTAAAGAAAAAAATCACTCCTCTCTCCCAAACACAGACCTCCCAACTAAGCACATGCTCCTATTCTGGTGGGGATTCTTGCCTTCCCACTAGCAAAGTGGGGGGGGGGGCTCCTCCAACTTATGCCCCACATTTACCATCTTTTAAAATGGAAACGGGAATGGTGCTGAATTGGCTGGCTCCTAATGGGTTGTCCAGGCTGTCCGAAGACTCCCAAGTGTGGCAGAGATCCTGTGCCCCATAGCTTGGACAGAGTGGTGGTATAAAGGAACTTGGGGGCCTGGGCCTTGGTTTCCTTCAAGCAACGGGTTTGGTTTACATTACAAGTCAGCACTTCTGTGGCTTGGTCTGTCCTTGAACTTTGGGGACAGTGGTTGCAGGAAGAGGGTCTGAAGGAACAGGTGCCAGTGAGCAGCACCTTGGCCCTGTGTTTTGGACCCTGAAGTTTCTGGCAGCCTTTGACATTGCTATGGCAGCAGCCAGATCCCTGCCCCCTCCAGCTACATGGGGTGCTTCCATGTTAACCCTGGCTTTGCTTCTGGTTCTGGGAGGGGGGTAGTGAGACTGATGCATCTGCTGAGCTGATCTCCAGGGAAGTGTTCTACAGCCATATTTGTGTGATTATGTAAGCCCAACTGATGATCAGACCCTATGCCCAACCAATCCCCCACTATCTCCTGGTCCTCCCCCAACTGCAGAAGTTAGGTGGTACTGTTTTTTTGATGTCTTTATGTAATTGTGTGTGTGTGTGTGTGTGTGTGTGTGTGCGCGCGCGCACTTGCTCCACACCCATGCTGGAAACAGGGAACCTGCTACAAGGAGGAATCATTTGAATGACTTGAATGTGAGAGCACAGGGCAAAGATCAATCCTGTTGAGCACAGCATGATATTGGCTTTGGATTGGTGTTGATCTGAGACTGTCCCATGTCTCTTTGAGCCAGTCATTGCTTGTCTGAACTTTTAGTGGGCAATCTCACCAATCTTGGTCCCTGCAGGAGGTTGGAATCTCCCCTGCAGGGCCCCTAGGTTCCTAACTCAAAGCAGAAAATTCTGAATTCAGGTGAAGGCCCAGGTTTTAGCTTTTCTTCATGCTTCTGGGTGAGCAGCTGGAGTGGAAGAGTGCCTGTCCCACCAGGGGTCAGTTTTGCTCTGAGGATGGGTGCTCTATGGAATTGAAGAGCAGACCTTGGGTACTGATGGAGTTGCTGGACCTCTGCTCTTTAAAGCTGAGAAGACCTGTAGAGGTTGGTGGCCTTTTCCATCCTTGCATTAAAATAGTGGAGGTTTTTTCCTTTTTTTTTTTTTTTGCAAGGTAGGCAGACAGCTATCCCACTGAGATTTCTGCAGGCAGGAGAGGAGGGTGTGTGTGGTGACACTTAGCATTCTTCTCCCTCCCTACTCTGTTAAGATACCCCACAGAATCTAGAATTGTTAACACAAAGTCTTCCTATCACACCCCTTAGTGTCTCAGCCAAGGGCTGCTGGACAGATTTGTTAATTTGGTGACAAAGTCTAGCCACTTAAGGCTAAGGGTGTTTTGGAGGGGTTTTTTTGCTCTTAGCATCCTTGTGTGTGTGTGTGTGTGTGTGCGCTTTGAGGGCCAATTAGTAACTACTACCGCGTGCTTTGTGGCAGTGAATCAAGTTGTGCTCAACTGGCACTATTATTGAGCTGTCTCCACCCATTGCGTTTTAGTGGCAGCCACCCTCATTGGCGTGGAGAAGTGTGTGCTGCCCTTGGGCTCTTGCCAAGTAAGCCATGGAGTCACTTAGTGTGTAAAAGGTACAGGCAAGAAGAAGATGCATTTAGTGTGAAGAAGTCCTGGCAGATTGCAGGACCGCCTTGATCAAAGATAACATTAAGAAAGCTGGGTGACAACTGGATAACTTTTAACTTGTCTCTTACTTCCTGCTCTCTGTGAGTTCCCAGGTGTCTTTCAGGTTTTTTTCTGCCCTCTGTGCTGCCCATCAGACAGCCCATGACAGTCTGTTCTTCATTCTGTTTCCCTGGGAGTCGCAGTCTATTTGCAAATCTATAGTTATACTGGGCAGGCAGGGCAGGAAACCCCAGCTAGGTGAACAAGCAGGGCTGGTATTTGGGGTTAGACCTGGCCAAAGCCTTTGACTTGTTCTAAGTGTACCGGAAAGTATTGAGTAGAAAATGAGATCAACTAAACAGTAAATGTGCTCTGTAGCTGGTGGGTGTTAGAATAGTACCATAACAATCTGGAAGGCAGAATTACAAAAGGTAAACCAAGAGAGATGTCATAAGCCCATGAGCTACGGTTCAGTCAGTCTGATTGTTGAAGGTGATTGCAGACCCTTTTTTAGGACTTTGCTTTTGTTTATAGAAGTTCTAAAAGCAAATTGGAAGAGAGTCATAAACTACTGTAAAAGGATAATTAAAGTTCTTTTGTCAAGCAACAGTATGAAGAATTAGTAATGAAAGAAACATACAAAAAAAATTTAAAAGAAAGTAAAATAAAATGTAAGAGATACAAGTATTCCAAACATGGGGTTTTAAGTTGAATGTGTTTGCTTTAAGCATTTATGAAAGTTTATGTATTTTATTGGGTCTTCAGGACTCTGTTTTTTAGCATAGTAACTGATGCTCACAATGAGCCATATATGTTAAGAAGAGTTTAAATGACATTTTATGTGTCCACTTTAAGAAAGCATGAGAATGGCTTTTTTTTTTTTTAAGCAGGACATTTAGAAGAAAAAGCATAGCTATTCAGAATAAAAGAACCCTCCTGGGTTTCTGGCCAGCTAAGGGTTTGCTGATCAAATTATATTACAGTGATAAAACCCTGCTATTGAAATTAATTGTGAACCTTATAATCTTTTGTTGAAATTTATTAGGGAAAACTATTATGCTATTATTAGTAGTGGTTATGTTTCATCATTTCATGCTACAGAAAATACTAAGGAGACATTAGAACCTCAGTCTGTCCTGTGACCGGAGGACATTCTTAGGCCCTTCCAGTCTGAATGCTGGTGTTGGAAGAGAGTTGATGGAAAGGGATCAGGAGAGGTGTTCCCTAGTGGCATTTGTTTCTGCATCTGTGTGGGGAATGTGGATTTACCATTGCCAGTGTCCTTTGCCATCAGAGAAATGAGTTCAAGATGTTTGGCCACACCCCATGCTCAGCAGCCGTGTTTACTTAATTCAGACTTTATACTCAAAACTGGAAGGACAGCTGACTTATATGAGTGATACTCGGCTTGGCTAGACCCTCTGCTGATTTTTGCAATTATAGTTTGCTCCAAAACAAAGGTAACAGGAAAAACAAAAGGTTAAGAAAATGAATGCTGATGCTTTTTAAGGAGTATTTTTATTTCTTTATTTTTTCCTCTTTTTTTTTCATTTCTTAAGGAGTATTTTTAAAATGTAGTACGTATGTGCAACATGCAAAAACCTTGTTAAAATTAAGGGAAGAATATTACTCACTTTCTACATACACGTAAATTCATTGTTTTGGTAATCTATGGGAAGAAATTCTTAAATTTTCTAAAAGCAACTCTCAACATCAGATCATTGAGTATAACCAGAATTGCTCAGAACTCTCTAAAGTTTCCATGTATATAAGTACAAGGTCCTATTGTAATAAGATGGAGAAAAGAGGATTCCTTGGAATCCCAGGGAGCTTGGAAGTCATTCACTGAACTCTCAGACTTGACATTAGTTGGTGAAGCTATCTTAAGATCAGAGGAACCCTGACAAGAATGAATGAATTTAACAAAAGAATTTTGAAAGCTTCCTCAACCAAGATTCACTACAGTAGACCCTTGGCACTCCCAGTGGATACATCTTAAGCCCTTGGTCAATCCCCAAGTTTGCAAATGCAAAACTACTTGCATAGGCTGTTGACTGGTTTCACAGGGAGAAAAGTTCCTAGGATTATTCACAGGCCACCAGTTCTTTGCATTTTCAACTTGTACTTAAGGAAAGAAAGTTTTTCTTATGTCCATAGAGTCTCTGTATCTCTGGTAGCCCCTTGGGTTGGGGATGCCGGACCTTGGAGAAGGCTCAGTCTCTAGTTAAGCGACTCCCTCTTGTGCTGTAGACTTTGCAACACATAGTTCACATTGGTGCTCCAGAAAAAAAAGAAGAAGGAGAAGGAGAATGAGAAGGAGTTACCATGGATTGGCTCTTAGGGGTTATTCACCAATAACTGAAAAACTGAAAGTTTGGATCTACTAATGCCATGCGTCCCTGGGGTTGCCAAAAAAATCGCACATGTGTGCACGCCCTGGAGATAACCCCTGCTCCCTGGCCATTAGTATATACTTAATGCACTGTTGGAAACTTCTCTATCAGCAAATCTTGATGAGGGGAATGGGGCACTGCACAGCTGAAGCATGTGGTGAAGAACTTACAATGGGAGCATCATCTCTGAAATCTATGCAAGAGACACAGGGTATAGTCATTTGCTCTATGCCC